GGGTTTGATCTTGCACAAGTCTGTGTTTCACAAGTATGCTTTGGCCACAAGTATGCTGCACCAAAGCAGAATGGACATAAGCGATATTGACCAAGAAAGGCAGAAACCCTTAGCTTAAGGGAATTCATCTTGGTTCACCGATATAAACAGGGTTCTAATTTTATTACCTCATATTCCTTTACGTTTTTAGTTTATAAGATCTAAAATATTAATCACTCTTTTTTTTTTTTGCAGAGTGGATAAGCCATGATGAGGAATGCATGGGCATACTTGTTTCTTCAGCTAGTTTAGTCATGCATAACTGCTATTTACAGTTCTGTCTTTTCCCTTCATGGCTGGTTTATTCTAAATATTTGAGTAGATATTTCAAGGAATTGGATTCTGCATTTGTAAATACTTATGTTACTGTATGGATTTCGCTTGATAACAGATTGTGATTGCTTTTAATTGCTGAGGAAGTACTCCTCTTGGCTAGGTTTCATTTTCCCATTAAATGCTAATATCTTGTACTGGTTCCACATTTTGGGTGGTTTAACTTGCTTTTCTGTGATGGGGTCTTGGATAGAAGTCAATTTTGGGGTGAGGGTTATGGTTTTTACCAGTATAATATTGGCGTTTTGTTTACTTTCATTCTTGTGTGGATTACTTTTCTTGGGTTTAAAGTGCTAGTGACTTATTAGATTTTGCTAGTAAGATTTGATACTGTTGAAGTGCTAGTCTTTTCTAATTATCATATAAGGCAATGTTTATATTATGTTATACTCCTATGATGTCGATTATCACATTCATATGAAAGTTAGAAAAGACTAGCACTTCAATGATACCAAATCTTACTAGCAAAATCTAATCAGTCATGTTGGGATTTTTTATCAAAGAAAATGGGGAGGAGACCGAGAGGAAGATGATGAAGAGCAGAACACATAAAATGGAGAGAAGTATATGACTTCAACTCAAGTTTTCTCATTGCAATCTCTCCTATTTATAGGAGAATACAAACTCAATTCAAAATTTAAATCTAAACAACTATTCTACATTAAAAAACAATAAAAGTACATTTAAATTTGACAAGTAACAGCCACTTTTTCCTGCATGCTTCTTGTTACTCTGCAGCCACTTTTGCAGCTTTCATTTTTGATGCATTTGCATTTCATTTGCTGCCCGTTGCAGCCTCATTTCATCAACATTTGTAGCTCAGCTTGCTACACATTTTTGCTGTCATTTTAGAGCTCCATTTCCATCATATTTGCAGCTAAATTACTGCCATAGTTGCTGTCAAATTGCAGCCTCATTGCTACCATTTCATGGTAGTTTCATTTCATCATTTCTACAGATTTGAATGCCACGTTTCTAGCAAAAATTCCAACACTCCTCCTTGGCATCAAAGCTGCAAAATCAAAAACAGAAATAGATTTATACCTAAGCACCTGGGATCAGCCTTTTGCTATCCATCTTGTACTTGGTCTTCACCATTTTTTCTTTTCATCATAGCCATGTACCATCCTTCTCAAATAAACTCAGCTCCTCCTCCTTTCCTTCTTTGGATTTTGTTGCCTCAAACAAATTTTGGAGGTTTTGCAACTAAGTTGCCTTTTCTGAGTAAATAAAAATAAGGAATTGGTACCTCAAAGTGTTGCTTCATGATCTTTTACATCTTCTACAGCTTCCTTGGGCTAAAGATTTGGCTACTCGGTCATGAAAATGACTTGATGCAATGTTGAGTACTCTCTTGGTCCCAATCTGCATCTTCACAAGCCATCCTTGCCTTTTTGGACTAATGCTGTAGCATAAAACACCACCCATACTAGCAACATAAAACATCATCAAACTAGCATATTTTGCTCTTGCTTCTTGCATATCTTCTGCCTCAAGAAGATTGAAGGACGTCAAGTTAACCTTCAACTTCACAGCTTCACATACTCTCTTCTGCCTTAACAAATTGGTTGCATCCTCTTGTCAACCACTTTCAAAGATTGAAGGACCTAAAGTTAACCTTCATCATCACAACATCTTTGCTGCATTTTTGGTTAGAGGAGTTTGTTGTGTTGGGTCATAAAAATGGGTATTTTGAAAGAAAAAACTTGCTAGCAGCCATTTGCGTTTGGTCGGAGTTTGTGGTGATAGGTTTCTCTCAAATCTCTCTCACACAAGCCCTCAAAGATCATGAAAGGTTCTAATACCATGTTGGGATTTTTTATCAAAGAAAATGGGGAGGAGACCGAGAGGAAGATGATGAAGTGCAGAACACATAAAATGGAGAGAAGTATATGACTTCAACTCAAGTTTTCTCATTGCAATCTCTCCTATTTAGAGGAGAATACAAACTCAATTCAAAATTTAAATCTAAACAACTATTCTACATTAAAAAACAATAAAAGTACATTTAAATTTGACAAGTAACCGCCACTTTTTCCCGCATGCTTGTTGTTACTCTGCAGCCACTTTTGCAGCTTTCATTTCTGATGCATTTGCATTTCATTTGCTGCTCGTTGCAACCTCATTTCATCAACATTTGCAGCTCAGCTTGCTACACACTTTTGCTGTCATTTTACAGCTCCATTTCCATCATATTTGCAGCTAAATTACTACCATATTTGCTGTCAAATTGTAGCCTCATTGCTGCTATTTCATGGCAGTTTCATTTCATCATTTCTGCAGATTTGAATGCCACGTTTCTAGCAAAAATTCCAACAAGTCACTCGCACTTCAATCCCAAGAAATGTTATCCGCACAAGGATGAAAGTAGACAAGACACCAATATTATTTAGGTAACCCCCACCCCAAAATTGACTTCTATCCAAGACCCTAATAGCAAGGAAAAGCAAGTTAAACCATCCAAAACGTGGAACTAGCACAAGATACTAGCATTTAATGGGAAAATGAAACCTAGCCAAGAGGAGAACTTTCTCAACAATTAAAAGCAATCACAATCCATTATAGAGTGAAACGCATCCAGTAACATAAGTATTTACAAAAGCAGAATCCAACTCCTTGATATATCTACTCAAATGTTTAGAATAAACCAGCCTTGAAGGGAAAAGACAGAACTGCAAATAGCAGTTATGCATGACTAAATTAGCTAAAGAAACAAGTATAGCCATGTTCCTCATCGGAGTTGACCCACCCTGCAAAAAAGAAGAGAACAATTAATTATTTAGATCTAACAAACTAAAAATGTAAAGGAATATGAGGTAATAAAGTTAGAACTTGTTTATTTCGATGAACCACAATGAATTCCCTTGGCCCAAGGGTTTCTGCCTTTCTTAGGCCAATATCTCTATCTCCATTCTGCTTTGGTGCAGCAAACTTGTGAAACACAGACTTGCACAAGGTCAAACCCACTAGACCTAGACACTCTTTCTTGCATGTCATGCACGTGAACATGTTTGCCATTTTGTGTTTAATTGATGATTCCTAAAGTTAGACAGACAAAATTACAAATATGAGACCACTAAAATCATAGACATACAATGAAAGAAAATGACAAAAAGCTACTCATTTTCCAATTTAACTATAATAAGGTATTGAATACTAGATTACAAGCAATATTACCTAGCATTAATATGTCAGAAAATTCAAAATTAATGTAAATAACATATTACCACTGATTCACGATAAGCAATTCTTATCATTAGTAACGACAAAAAGCAATATTTTTAACCGGCTAAGATGAGAAAGAATAGAAAAAGAAATAAACCCAACTACAGTTGACATAAATAAACAACTGAACGGATAAAATAGAGTTACTTCACCCAAAAGCATTTGCTATTTACATTAATTTTGAATTGCTTTTTGTTATTTACATTAATTTTGAATTGCTTGTTGTTATTTACATTTGTTCACCCAAAAGGAACCCCATATATAGCCAGTGGAAAGGATTGAGGCAATTACTCAACAATGAATTCAGTATAAACCTTCAAACCATATTTTCATTTCAGACATTTTTCTTTTAATAGTGCAACCCTTGTAAAATTGGATAGCAATTAAACACAAAGATTAACGGCAAGAACCCTAAAGAAACATATATACAATTAGGGCTCCATGAGTTTTAATTCACGCACCGCTAAAAAATTGATTGACGCAACGTAGGGTTCCACATGATTCAAGAACCCCTAAAAGATTGAAGGAATGCTATGGATTCTACCATAGATGAGAGTATACTTGAAGGGAACTTTATTTTACAGTTCAGACTATATTAGAGTGTAAAATAGGGATCATTGGATAGGAAGGGCTCTAATATCAGGAGCCCAACCCCCATTCAATGGTTAATGGAGTGTAGTTTGGTATGATTCGAATTATACTACACTTTTTCTAATACTAAAAACAAGAGATGAAGAAAATCAAGAACTGGTATAAGAAAAAGAAAGAGACATATAACTGACACTTGCTGGGAATCTAACTGTAAATCTAGATGATAGCTGGAGATTGATTTGATATAGCTCTGCTTTGAGATGGATTCTTCTGCTCTCTGCAAAATAGGAAAGGAAAATGATGAATATTACAATTGGGAGGAGAGAGACGAGGAGAGAAAGGAAGGGTGCCAGCGATTATCAGCGGAAGAACCGAGCAGTTCATGCTCAGTGGCAGATAGCAAATGCCGATGCGGTATGTTTCCTACGTGTCGACAAAAAAAACAAAAATTATCATT